TTTTTTTACTTTCAAAGTTCCTTTTATAGTAGGGTGGATATGATATTGTGATTTGGCTTTTAGAATTCGAGAGTCGCTTCAAACCAGAGGGAGATCCAACCCCATATAATGAACTTTTCAAGAACTGATTCTATGTTAAGTGAATCATTCCGATTCAGTGATGTTTTAGGGAATCATCCCGATTCCATGTTAAATGAATCATCCCGATTCAGTGAAGTTTTAAGGAATCATCCCGATTCCATGTTAAATGAATCATCCCGATTCAGTGAAGTTTCAGGGAATCATCCTGATTCCATGTTAAATGAATCATAACGATTCTGTGAAGTTTGAGTGGAATAACCCTGATTCCATGTTAAATGAATCATCCCGATTCATTGATGTTTTGGAGAATCATCCTGATTCTGTGCAGTTAAATCAATCATTTCAAACTCGTCATCAAAAGATTCCCGGTTTACTCTTCATAGAGATGAATGTGAAATATCTTGCGGACTCTTCGTCGAGACGTCATCAGAGCCCGAGGGGGGGGAGTCTATAACCTAACGCTAAATGGCAACAGTCAATAAAAATTGAAACATCTAACATCTGAACCGTTAGTTAAAAGAGATTGATGCACTAAAGCGAGTGATGCACTTGCATGGAAAAAGTGTCGTAAAAAAAATGTGTACCTTCTGGTGGGTTGTTATATGATTCTGTGGTAAAGATGAAGAAATGGATATTTTGTGCACCCTTTGTTTCAAAACTAAAAATGCAATTGAAGGTAAAATAAATTCTATAACCTAACGCTAAATGGCAACAGTCAACAAAAATTGAAACATCTAACATCTGAGCCGTTAGTTAAAAGAGATTCGACAGATTTTTGCATGGACATAACTTTTCCTCTTATCCAAGAGTAATTGATTTATGCTACATTTATTACTTTTGACATGTAATTCTTCCATGTAGTGTTTTTCTTATAATTATAATTTTTTTTGTTTGCTTGGTTAAATGTAAAGTTTACATCGCCCTCTTATTATAAACTGGCAGCCCAACAGTGGACCCAAATTCCTCAAAAGTTTAAAACTTATTACCGAAAGCGGAGCGCAATTTTTTTCTTCGAGCTCTTCCTGCGTTAAAAGAAGAAAATTACCACCCTGGTGATATGGAAAATTTTGATTTTTGACAATCTGGAAATTAACAGCCACCCTAGGAGTGAAGGATTAATCCAATGTCCTTGCGCTTATTGTAAAGCAATCATGTAGCAAGTAGGAATTGTATTTTATATAAAGTTAAATTGATTATGATAGTTTAACATAGAGTGGAAGCATGTTTAATTTTCTAAATAAAAAGAAATAATATTTGAGAATAAAAAAGAAATGGAACAACGGAAGGAAATGACTGAAAATACGTCATTAAAAGTCAACGCTACTGGAACGGATGAACCAAAGAATAAATGTGGAAATTCTCCAGATCCTAAATTCAATCTTATTAGTCTCAGTTATCATTGATTAGAAAAGAAATCTTAAACTCTATTTGAAAAAGCTACCAAAAAATGGAGCAACTCATCAGAGTCTTGGAAGAAGAAAAATAAGACCTTGATGACGAAGTGGAGGAAACGGTTTAAAAAAACTGAAAGGCTCTAGTTCTACAACAGATGATTGTTCTAGTGAACCTTTTCATACTCTCATAGAATTAGGAGAAGTTAAGAAACAAAATTCAAATTTAGAAAAGGAAAATGAGTGGCTCAAAAATGTGTTGCATTAAAAGCAGTCGTCTAGCAAAAGTAATGAAGATAAACAAAATAGTAATTCCACAGGTGCGGTCAAAGTTGAATTCGAACTATTTTGACATTTTCAAAATTTTTACTTTCAAAGTTCCTTTTATAGTAGGGTGGATATGATATTGTGATTTGGCTTTTAGAATTCGAGAGTCGCTTCAAACCAGAGGGAGATCCAACCCCATATAATGAACTTTTCAAGAACTGATTCTATGTTAAGTGAATCATTCCGATTCAGTGATGTTTTAGGGAATCATCCCGATTCCATGTTAAATGAATCATCCCGATTCAGTGAAGTTTTAAGGAATCATCCCGATTCCATGTTAAATGAATCATCCCGATTCAGTGAAGTTTCAGGGAATCATCCTGATTCCATGTTAAATGAATCATAACGATTCTGTGAAGTTTGAGTGGAATAACCCTGATTCCATGTTAAATGAATCATCCCGATTCATTGATGTTTTGGAGAATCATCCTGATTCTGTGCAGTTAAATCAATCATTTCAAACTCGTCATCAAAAGATTCCCGGTTTACTCTTCATAGAGATGAATGTGAAATATCTTGCGGACTCTTCGTCGAGACGTCATCAGAGCCCGAGGGGGGAGTCTATAACCTAACGCTAAATGGCAACAGTCAATAAAAATTGAAACATCTAACATCTGAACCGTTAGTTAAAAGAGATTGATGCACTAAAGCGAGTGATGCACTTGCATGGAAAAAGTGTCGTAAAAAAAATGTGTACCTTCTGGTGGGTTGTTATATGATTCTGTGGTAAAGATGAAGAAATGGATATTTTGTGCACCCTTTGTTTCAAAACTAAAAATGCAATGAAGGTAAAATAAATTCTATAACCTAACGCTAAATGGCAACAGTCAACAAAAATTGAAACATCTAACATCTGAACCGTTAGTTAAAAGAGATTCGACAGATTTTTGCATGGACATAACTTTTCCTCTTATCTAAGAGTAATTGCTTTATGTTACCTTTATTACTTTTGACATGTAATTCTTCCATGCAGTGTTTTTCTTATAATTATAATTCTTTCTTATTTGCTTGGTTAAGTGTAAAGTTTACATGGCCCTCTGGTTATAATTCTAAAATCAATCTGGGAATACAAGCTAAAAATGAAAATGAGTTCGGAAAAAATTCTCACTACTTCTTCGAGAACTACTGTGCGACTTCCTATTCCTGACGTAGACAAAAGGCGCAGTGATTTGCGCAATATATTGGCAGTTTTAATGAGAAAGGATGGTTTCTATCGACTTCTGAAGGAATTTTAAAGCAAACATATGAGAGAACACAATTTACGTTTTGCCGTAAGAACTCGGTTAGAATTAAAGATATACCTGACCAGGAAATTCCTCTCCGGTCTTTTGCAATTGCTGAGTCTAGTGGAAGCAGCTAAGGATTCGGGATCTGTATGTGAGCAAAAGTATGAAATTTCTTTGCATTAAAAATGTTATGAAATGTAATTCAAAATGCCATTCAAGTCTAACATGTTGCAACAAATATGTTAATTTTAATTTCTTATTTTTTATATGAAAATTTCGTTTCCCTTAATAAGAAAGACATAAATTTTGTTTTGTACAACTTTCATTTTTATTTCCGTATTTTGAAAAAAAAATTATTGGCACTCTCATTTTTTCAAAATATCATTTGTATTTTTTAAGGCATGCACGTCATTTATATAATAATCTAATCAGGACCTTTTTTCATACCTTGCCTAAATAGCATTTGTCATTCTATAGAATACCTAGGCATTATACAATGCATAGGAAAAGCATGTAATAATTCTCATATTTCATACTTTGCCCTAAAAACGTCCGGCATTATATACAATGCCTAGGCATTCTATAAAATATCGGCTTTTCGTACTTTGACGGTCATATAAATCTTCTGCTTCTGAGCAGAATATTTTAGCATGGAAAAGAGAAAAAAATGATGTATACGCTGAATAAATGAATTAAAGTTGTCCTTTGTGTTTAATACTTAATTTTATTTTTGGTATTACCAAAAATTATGTATTTTTGGTATATAATTTTAATAAGCAAAAAGCAAATGTTCAAGTGGAATCTTCATTCAAATTATTGAATCTAGGATTTCCAAACACAATGTATTTCTACGTCTGGCTTTGGTCGAAGTGACTCTTGAAAATACCAGTTACTACCTACTTTCCACACTTCGGTGGTTATTGGCAAACTTTAAAGATCAAACCAATTAATGTATTAAGCACATAAAAACACTACCCACTGGAGCTAGAAACTGTTTGCAACCCTGTTCTATAATCTTCGGATCGTCAGCTGCCAACTTCCATTTAAGCCTAAATAACGTTTTCTTTCAGTTTTAATTTTTATGAATTTATTTTAGCAGATACATTATTTTATCTTATAAGTGTTTCAATCTTATAAGCGCTAATCTATTAAAATTTATTAAAGTCTCAAAATGTAGCACAAAGAAATGAATGAAGAGAAACATTTCGCAAATTAACATACACACAAATGTTAACCACATAGATTTGTTAAAAGTAGCAAATTTGCAAAACATTTCTTCTGGCAAAATTGGATATTGACCTAATATGCAGGTACCAAACAAGAATAAGCGACATGTCAGGAAAAAAAAATTCTCTAAAGAAAGGATTTCAATAGAGGCTTTAGCATGACTTTAATTCTAATCTGTTCGTTAGTTTCAGCAAAACTGTATATTTCGACAGCATAAAATTTACGTACAAATTATATTGTTGACACGCTGTTTATATTTAACCTTGTCTGAGAGTTTGTAAATCGGTTTTTAAGGAGAATTTTCTGCATCACACTGCAATATTACAACAAATATTTGACAGTAATTATAGTGTGAAATTTTGTTAGAAATTCTAAGATATAACTGAAGTTCCCTTGAGAAGCATAATCATAGCTACTATTTCAAAAATAAAGTATTATTCGGACAAGATTATTTTCTTTTTTTAAAAAAGCAATATAAAACTCGACTAAACGATTTAAGATAACTACATGATTTGATAGAATTATTGATAATTATATAGAACAATTTCAAATTTATACGATGCTTTATTTAAACATGTGCGTCCTTTTTATGAAATGCCTGATAAATGTTAAATTGGGATTGAATACATCAAGTAATTTAATTTCAAGAAAGTAATGAACTTTATAAATATCTTTGCATCTTAAAGTATATGATCATTAATTTATAAGAATATGGATTTTGAAATAAAAAAAATCTTAAGATTTTTACCGTCTGCCATTTTGTACTGCACGCTGCTTCCGGTGATGTGGCTATTTCCATTGAAAGGTACATCCCATCGAATGGTCAAAGTCCTGCTGGTTATGTTTGTCACCGATAAGTTTGTTGGAGGATCTGGCACACCTTTATTCATATGAAAGAAAAGAAATTATTAATGGCATTTCCTAACTAAATGTTAGTTCATTTTCTTTCCTTTGATTTCTCTTGATTGATGCATAAGCACAGTAATAATAATAATAATAATAATAATAATAATATGTAAAATAAAGGTAGATTGAATATATTATAAAATTAAATCTTTTTTAACTTTCGAGATTTACTCATACTTCTGCCCCATTATTATTCACAAAAATATCTTACAAATATTAAATTTATATATAGTATATAAAGCAGACCATATTGATAAGATACATAAGGGAAACCAAACTGATATAAAGTATATACATGTTTAGTAAATATTACCTACAACTGCTGCTCAAGAATAAAGATGAGACAGAATGTTGATGCTTAACGATATATAGGCCTTTGAAGCATTTCATTTCAACTTTGTATTTTAATATTTTTATCAAAAATTACTCAGCATTTTAAATTTTCTTCTATTTATAACTTACATCATGCACTGGAAAAAATAATAAATTGGCAGCTAATTATTGCGAAATGTCAAATCATTATATTTAGTTGAAGTCCTGACTTACATTCCACACCGACTAAAACTGATGTGACTTGATTTTAATTCTTGGGAGAACATAATTTATTGCACAATACAATGTATTAAACATAAATATTAGCTACAGTAATACGTGTGATTTAGTACCTCATTATTAATTTCATATAATGTGTCTACTTCTTTTTAAGTTGAAAGATAAAAAGCATACGTTTTTTTCCTTCGGTTAATAATTCTATGTAATTACTATTTCCGAATAATATGCATTTTAAAATTTAATGAATGCTAGTTCAATGCTACTTAATTTGAAATAAAACAGTAGTATTTGCTTTCTTTTAAAAGATCTAATAATATTAGTTAATCTAAAGTCTTCTATATGACGTAGTGAATGCAAACTGCAATTTCTGTTCCCCATGTTGAGCGTTTAAAAATTAATCTATAATGGAATTAAATTTTTCGTACATATATTTGCTGACACTTAAATGTCTGTGACTCAAAACAGTCTCCAATCTCCGATTTTTGATTGGAAATATAGTTATATATTTTGGTAATGTCGTCATCATTCGCATAAGTGATTACTTAGATTATTTCAGAAACTGAATAAACCAGCTTAGTTATATGTCATTCATGCTTATAAGACTCAGTTTTGCATTTATATTTGGTATATATATATATATATATAATTTAAAAAAAACTTTGATCTGCTTGTATAACTCAAACAACTAAATTTTGTTTAGCTAATTATGCGTATCGTAAATATTACTAATTTGTACTTGTTAGTATGTACATACAATTCAGAAACGATTGGTCATCGATCACTGGTACCGAGAAACGCTAGGAATTTAGGTTGTTTAAACGTAATTAAAGCGCAATGTGCTACTTAAAGCTCTGTGCTGACATTTACCATGCCACGTTAGGAAAAACAGTCCTTTTTACTTCCGTGTACAAAATAAAGGATCTATTGTAATCACGAAAAATTCCAGGTATCATACTGAAACGAAAATATACATTTTGACCACTATCGAATGCAAATTAACAATGTTTTAGCGCGACATCTGTACGCAAGAACAGAATAAAGGATTCTTTTTTTTCTAAACGAATTATAAAACTGATTTGTGGTTTATGCGCTATCGACGAAGTAGTTTTAATACAATGAAATATGTTTAAATGAAATGCAGGAAAAATGCGTGTGATTTGATATTCCGTACAAGGAAGTCAAGTGGTCTACACATAAAATTTTTTGTATTTATATTTTTATTTTCAGTAAGATTATATTTACTTAGGTTGTGTGCTAGCTCGTGCTGAGATTAGCCTTCTGACAGAAAAGTTATGCGCCGCCCTTAAGATCTCTTCTGGCAGTCCTTTCTTTGCTTTAAGTTAGATCGTCCCGAAACTGTTAGTATCTAACAAAACAGAGTGCTCTAAAAATTACACAAAGGACAAAGGACAGTGTTTTTTTTTCCTTCTATAGTTCGACTGCTATGGCCCAAAGAGGGTAGACGAATGCAAATACTGGCTTGTTGATGAAACAGATCTCATAGTTTCTACGGCAAGATTTGATTTACGACCAAGCAATGAATAGAGGGATATCATAGCACTGTTAATAGTAATTTAAAAGTGTTCTTTGAACAAAAGCTTTGAGTAGAGTGTGATTCCTAAATGCTTAAGATATGAGGATATCACTACTTGAATAATATTGTAATTAACTTGTCATGTAAAGAAAATTGTTGAGCTATTACTAGTATTAACTTTCATTCTCCAGTTAAAGCACTAACGTTTAGCTTAGCCAATGCAATATTGAAGTGATTTGTTGTATTAAAGTGCATTAATGTAACGATAAATTTTTCCAGCTGTATATTAATCATAGTAGCGTTCCATATTTCTCCTAACGGAAAATCTGTAATTTATATTTTGATATGAAAAGTTTTCTTGAGCATTAATACGAATTTCATGGAGAAGTGCATTATATATATTCGGACAGACAGGAAAAATTTACTTTTGGCAATAAGCTCAAATGTTCCTTCTTCTTTGCTTCAAACGCTACCCTTACTATTGAGACGTGCTACTTACTTAACATTGTAGCGAGCAAATCAAATTATCAAGCAAATAATTCTAATCATTAACGTAGAATTTTAAAATTTATCATAACAATCAAATGCTAACTTTGTATATTTCGGTTTAAAATAACTTAGTTCCTATTTTCTAAGTCTGTATCCGTGTAACCTCGTATAAAATACAAAAGGAATCATAAAACATAGAATTTTATTTAAATACTACAAAATAGAAACTAGGAGTAAACTGTTATTTAATTAAAACCAACGATAAGCGAATGAGTAAAGAGGAACGAGGTTTAACTTTTGGAAGTTGGCAAAGGAAGTATAATTTCCGTACCCTGGACAACCAGCTGAAATGTGGCTTCATCGTATCCGAATTCGTTAACTGCTGAGCATGCGTACATGCCACTTTCTTCCCTCGTCGCAGAAACGATAACAAGTTCGGAAGTAACTCGATTGTCGTCCGTAATTTCTCGAAAAGAGTACCTAAGAGAGGAAAATGTTGTTAAGGAACTTATAAATAGACAACTATTAAATAGATTCATATTACAATTAATAATGACAAAAATAAGTAAAAGATCATTCAACATAAAAATTTTATGAATAATTCTGCAACTTTTTAACCTTTAATCCTTAAAAACAAAAGTTCGATATGGCGATCCAAATTTTTAAGTGACTGTATTAGCTTGGCTAAAGCATGCAGATAAGTGGCAGTGATGAAGGTAATTACGAAGAAAGTGATCACAATAGTGGATCCAATAGTGTTTCCAATAATGAATTATATATAGAAATGACATCGAGAAAATTTTATTATGGAAAAAATCATTTTAAATGGCTCTCTTTTCCTCAATTCTGCAGTCGTACTAGAACGAAACATAATATTATAACTCAGCTACTTGGTATAAAAAGATCGCAAATTCAGGAAATTCTGCCTGTGCAAGAGAGGTATGGACATCTTTCTTTAGTGATAAAATGAAAAACGATATACTGGTTTGGTCGAACTATAAATTATCTAGTGAAAGAAGTAAATACAAGGAACTTAATAAGACTGATCCAAAGAATGTCGACAAATTGGGCTCGAAGCTTTAATAGGATTGCTGTTTTATTCATCTGTATTTAATTCAAATCATGAAAATATATTGTCGAATTTATCTATGCTTTGGATGGTACAACTGACAAACGCAGACACCATATGGATGACTCAATTTTTTCACATAGATTTTACCAAAGAGATTCTTTAGTTCTATTTCAATGAGCTAGCAGGCCCACCAGCCGCCGAGCGGTAAAGTCTCTGACCACTGATAGTTCGGTACGAGCTTCGAATCCCGCGAACGGGCTGGCTGCATGGGTGTTTTCATGGTTTTCCCCATGTGTAACGTGTATACGAGCCAGTGTCCCTTAGAAAGTCCTCCACGAAGGCATCCCTTCCTTTGGCAGATAGCCCTAGTGTGCTTTTACCATAATTAGATACACCACCAATAAGCTGGCACTGGCTTCTGATTGACATCGTTATAAATTTCTTACTCTGAACTTTAGAGATCTACAGTCTTTCAAACTACATTATAATAATAAAAAAACAGACTCTGATAAGGTAAGTTAGAGAAAATTTTAAAATACACGTGCTGTCACCAAGATCAAACCTGTGTTATTGCAGTCACAAACGCAATATTCTTACCATAACAAGTATTCTACACTTCATCGGAATAAAAATTATTCTTCGTTATTTGGAAGCCAGAGGCCCCAGTTAGAGAAAAAATAATTGGACAAGCTCGAATTTTGACCCAATACATGGTATTTATGGATAGTTGCTTTTAAACTGCTTTATCATCTCATATGATGTAAATTCATATAATTTGAGTGTGACTCATAGATTTGAATTCTGCTTGAATGGGCGACCAATTATAAATTAAAAGGCTTATAGCTACCACGCCTGGCCTTAGGGAGTGACCACTGCAAAATAAGCAGGTTTCCGCCATTCGATTAACGTTATAAATGTGATATTTGAATTCTTAATCTTTTTACAGCAATTTAATATTACATATAAAATAAATCTAAAATATATAACTTTTAGTCTATAGCTAGTTTTCTTATCACTTTATCCTACTAAATTTCATTTATAATTTTCTATTCGTTAGTGACACTAATTTTGTATTTTTATTATTAGTGCTAAAAAAAATTAAGTTTTCCTTAAATTCAAAATTCCATGAAACTTCAAAATAAACATACCGAGATTTAACAGTCACAGGCAAAGGCGTTTTATTCCTGTGCCAGGTTATCACAATGGGAGTATTTCCCTGAGCTGTACACTTAAGACTAGTGTTGTCACCTTCTTTAATGGCTCTGCTTTGATATGTTTCTTCAAATTTAGGTGGAACTGAAATTAAAATTTTGTTATATATACACTCTAGTATTTGATCGTTAGCAAATTTTATTTCAGAATGGCACTTATGCATTTAAAAAAAATGTTACTTTCCTAAATAGTCTAAAAATATTCAGTGATTTTAACTTTGTCATATGAGTAATTATAATGTTTAGAAAATTTATATTGAGAGAAATTGAGATTGCTAACTTTATTCGTAACATGAGGTAATAATTTAACTTTTGATAATAGAAACAAAACACTCTTAAACAAGTATTTCTTTTGAAAGCCGAAAAAAATTAGAACTCAAATCAATTTTTGATTCAAACCTAAGTAAATATTTGAGCTTGCGACACTCATCCTAATTATTTAAAATATTAATAAGATTTGTTTAACACCATCATGTTTTAAAAATATTGTACTGAATACATATAAAACCGAAAAACCAAAAGTAATTTAGGTTTAAACTGTTGTAAGAGATCTCGGAAGAAATCAAGTAGTGGAGTAAGAAATTTTTTCTTCTTCAGAAAACATGCAGAAAATTGAAAAGAACTGGATGTTTTTGAAACATGGAAATTCAAGAAGAGATATTACTTATAATTTAATTGCTAAATGGAAACTAATTGTGGTTAAGCTTGATATAAAACACTATAATCTGAAGTTATTATGCATAAATCGAATTGTCGACAGTAATTCTGTCTACAGTTATGAAACAGTTCAGGAAACCTCTTTAATAACCCGTAGTACAGATAGGAGAGTTTAAATTTCGGTAAAACGTGCCTTTGTAGAGACTAACATGTAGAATGAAGGGATCCTTAGTAATGACAAAAAATGTACTTCCTCTGTCCCATAATAATAATAGCAAGAGGATATTTAAATGGGAATTATTGGTGATACAGCTGGTAAACAATATTGTAGCGCAAAATTGCGATGACTTCAATAAAAATCAATGTTTCATGACATCTGCCACTTGCTTTGACACATATTTCAGTTTTCAGATTAACTTAATTATTACGAATAACAATTATTTTTCTAATTTCATCCGCTGATCGAAATTATTTGTTTTATTTCAGTTGAATATCAACCCATTGTAAAAGTAAAATAGAAAAAAAGAGGTTTTAAGCAAATATCGATTTGCGATTGTCTAGTTCTTGATACACCAAAATAAAAAATATATATATATATCAGTGAGGAGCAATTAAGTGGAACTCCAAAACAATTTAAGTGCAGTAGAATGGCCGTATCAGTAACCTAAAAACTTAAACATACTCCTCTTAGCCGAAGAGATATCATAGAAGCAATGAACATAGCCTATGATAATATTTCTCCCGAAATTCTGGGTAATACGTTTTTGTTATTTCAAAAAAAAAAAATGTTGCAAAATGAAGAAAGATGACTCCAATAATTTTAAACTCACACATACGGGAAAAGCAAAGCTTCGCTGCCGAGGGATACGAGTTTAAAATGCGGTAACAAAATTATTGAAAAATCCAGAAATTACCTCAAAATGAAAATTAGGAGCAATATTTTAATTTGTTTAATTTCTTCTAGTGTTTTGATAATAAATGCTGCCTTTTATTTTTATTTTCGTTTGCTGCTATTATTATGGGAGACAATGAATTTATAAACAGCTGCTATTATTATGGGACAGAGGGAGTAATATCTTTCGGTAGAAATGGTCTCGCATTAGAAGAAAAACGACCACAATTCTTTAACGAAAGTGTTTAATTCTACAATTTAGTCATGAATGGCATGATGTTTGGAAGCTGTACTACTGAAAATAGAAGCTCTAAAGGAAACTATCTAAAAATTGTAACATTAAAAGTAGAAATATGGTGTTTTTACTATGTTAAGTAACAATTATTCTCTGCTAAGCTCAGTCAAAAATATCACTAGAATACCGTAGTTTGTGTTCAGAACAGCGGCAAAAATGTGAAAAACTAAGATGAAAGATGACGTAAAACGTGTCTTATGAAAAGCATGAAGTAAAACACCTAAGTCAACGAAAATTTACTAGCATCAATGGCACAAGAACTGAAAGTAGTTTTAAGAATTACATTTCTTACAACTAAATGTTAATAATTAATTTTTAGCCTTGAACAAGAGAATGTATCTGTATTTGCGTAGTTTTAAATAATTTAAGTAAAAATTTACAGTTATTTGTTTAAGATGTTACATTCGCTTTTTTCAAGATTTTAACTTCAATTTTTTTCAAGCATTTCTCATAGATGGGATTATAAATTTAGCATCCGAAAAAAAGGCCGGTTTACTTTGCTAGAGCTTATTATTTGCTTTCGAAATTGCATTAACTAAATAAGTAATGCTTCCTACTTTCCCAGTCACCGTACCCGAAAGAAAGCTTCGGTATTAATGTTCATTTTTATAGTTTCTACTAAGGGCTATTCCAGACATTATTCATGCATCTTCCACTTAACATTTTCATTCAAGTAAGAGAATAACCGACAACTCCCAACAGAAACATATCAGGCAAACGAGAACTACCTCGTAATACCGAAATAAATTTGAACTTAGTATTTTAAGTGCAAATGGGCTTTCGTTTTGCGATTCTGCGTCGAATCACTCTGAAAGTCCGTTTCACTTTTCAAAATGTTGCCACCTAATATTATCGCCCTGTACTATATTTAAAGAAATTAAATAATGAAGAATCTGCATAAATGTATGTACGTTTCTCGCATTCTGATAAAGCAATGGTACCTAGAGCCAGCCAATTTTGAATGACGTAATCCTACTGCGAATATGGGCATCTGGAAGCCCAAATTTGAAATTTGGAATTTGTTTTATTATCGATTTTATATTTTATAAAACTTTAACGAATTTTTGATTACAAACTCAAGAATTTCAAAGGGATCAATGGCAATTTTGTACAGAAAAAACATTTTTATCTTTAGCGCAGGAGATATCGCAAATTCTAAAGATATGCTCAATTTAAAATTATTTTGCGATATTGCTCCTGAATTGAATTTTATGGTTTAAGCGCGAAGAACATGATATTTAATAAATAAAAGTAACACACAAATTGTTAATAAAACGCCCCTTTAGATCTAATTTAAAATCTGAGACTTTTCAGATTTTCTTTGTTTTATATGTTTATATTAATACCAATGATAGCTGTGGCTTCTAGGTAAGACTGAATTGTACAACGCTGACTTTTATGTAGGCGGATGATGCACGTGTTCTTCTGTGTGTGGATAATGCTATTAAAAAAGCCGAAAATTATTATGAAATGTTGCTGAACGGAAACGAAGAAGGTAAAGAGATGAATCTGCTGTGGTGCTCTGTAAAATGCAGCTGTTTCAGTATTGTACTGTGGAAATTATAGCATCGCAAGAAAAAGTTTTAAAAATATGGCTTGTACAATATCAACAATGAAATATGGATGTAACGTGGAAGTAGAATTAGTCAGGATTACATAAAATGATATTGCAATCATACTGGCAAATAAAAATATTAAGTTTTCATTTAAAATTTAATTCTTGCGGGATGATGGTTAAGTGTACCTTTTGACACATTGTAATTTTGAATTTTTAAATTCCAAAAACACTTATGTACATTTCTCATACCGAATTTCATACATATAATCAATAAATAAATATATTCTCGAAAATTTACTTACCTTGAACATTTAGATAAATTATTTTGCTAAGAGATGCTCCTATACCGTTATTTGCTTGACACAGGTAGAATCCGCGATCCGATGTTTCGACATCCCATATCACTAAAGACCCATTATTGTACTGCCGTATTCTAGGACTAGATGTTACGTATCCAAAATCTCCAGGTGAAGACTCTAAAAGAAAACAATTTTAATCACACTTCATAAATATAATATAATATATATGTAATGATAGCACAAATTTTGGAAGCGCTGAAATACGAACTCTGAGACGTAGATAGGTAGAAATACTAAATGCGTAGATACGTGATTCTTAGAGCGTCCATCCATTTTTGAAGAAGATTTAAATAAATAAAAAGAATTTAATCCGGCTCGACTCCGTTCAAATTCCTTTTATTTATTTAAATTCCCATTTAGCAGCCACAATTCACTTGGCACTCTACTCGTGCCTATTAAAAATCATTTACAATTTTGATATTATTGCCATAGAAGCGAATATAGCAGCACACACATGATTGCAGAAAAATGTCTGGCCACGATGGAAGCACAAGCAAAAGTGATGCATCAGTTAGTAGAAAGAAGGGAGAGAGTGAAAAGTTTCGGTTTTTAGTTTCCGTTTAAAGTTTGGTGATTGGTCAAGAGGCATCTGCATTAAGGGTAACATAAGATCACATGATTAATTTGAATGACGCAGTTTCGACTTAGCGCTATTTTTAGGACAGATAGATGAAGTTCCATGAAGTTCCCAAATGAAATAGAAAATAAAAGAGGTTATAGTGAATTATATTTAGAAGTTTGCTTTCATATTTTTTTTTTATCTTACATATAAGTCAAATAAATTTAGGAATTAAAGCTAAGTTGCACGCTTTGCGGAAGTTTAACTGTAAGGTTTGTGTAACTAAGTAATTAGCATCGATGTATGAATGGAGGCTTTCTCTAAACGTGAAGAAATACTTACAAGAAAACAATTAAAATGCTTTTTTTGTGGTATTAAATGCACCTGATTGTCCTCAAAGCTTTGCACACGTGTTGGCGGAAGAGTTACATTTTATCACGGTGAAGTTACTGCCCCCTAACATGATTTCTCTTAATACTTCTCTAATAGATCAGCATGCTATTTCATATTTCAAGAAGCTCTATACGAAAGTGCTTATAAAAAGTGTTTTCAGGTAATCATTGGCACCGAATTTGACACTCAGATAATTTTGGAAACACCCTTTTAATATTCTGCATCGTGTAAATCACATAGAAGAAAGGGTAGCAAGAAGCGACTTATACAGAGCCATCAATTCGACTTGGTGAAAACTGTGATCAAATTGCATTCCAGGCAGATGTTTAGCGAGGTTGAAGGGATGAAACATTGAGAAAGGTTTCGTTATCGATTACATCGTATCTTAGGTAAGGAAGTGGAAACTTGAGCTTGGACGTTAGCAAAAATAACATGGAAGAGTTGCCAGATTACAAAAATAAACTCAGCACAGAAGAAATGGAACAACGTCTGTTGCAGTTATAAATGACAATTGTGAAAGAAATGGCTTCAGATAAAGAATAAAGGGAGGATGTTTTTAGTTATTTGATCCATGCAATTTGTGCAAAATTGGGTTAGGTGCATAATAGAACGTTAGCAATTGTGAAAGCCTTCTAAACCTGTAGTAAGTCGAAGCATAACTATTTGTCATGTTTTGGGAGTCGCAAAAACATTAGCCACTTTATATATTTATGGAAAAACAGTAACATTTTGCACCTTTCGCTCCTTTATCATTTTCTGCATATGCCGAATCATACACAGCAGCTTTCGTTCGTACAGATTAGGCAAATTTTTCCTGTTTTTGTTTTATTCTTTTATACGTTATTACAGTAAATTTCCTTTTTTGTATGTCTAATATTTGGTTAATTGTTATATTAATATTGTGTGTTGTGTTGTTATATGTCTAATATTGTGTATTGTTAATATTATACCGGGTATCTCGTAAATATTAGTACGAACTTTAAGGGACAGATAGGATATGTCAAAAGGATTGAGATTTGCATAGCTACCTATGACCATAAACGTATGTGAAAATAGGATCAGAAGTTCAAGAAATAAAGTGACACAAGACAGACATTATTGTAAGTATTTACTGCTCATAAATATGGTATAATATTATAGTAGGTGATACCATTTTAAAATGTTACGAAATATATTCAGTTTCCAGCTTTATAAATGATGCATGCGATACACCAATGGATCATGGATTCGTGGAAACGTCAAAACTATCTGGATTTATCTGAATATCTGCATAAACGCAACCAGACCCATTTTAGATTCGACAGGTGTCTCATACACATACAACTTTATATGCTCCCACAAGAAAAAAAATCCATACTGTTCAAATCCGAAGAGCTTGAGAGTCAGACAACCGGTACACTACGCCTAATCCATCTCTGACTAAGCGACACACTCAGATGTCTTCGAACGCATCTTTCATAATAGGAAGTGTCCCTTCATGTTGAAAACAGATGTTGCGTCTAACATTTGATGGCACAAGGTGAAGTAATCCTGAACCTGTTACAAAAAAAAAAAAAAAAAAAAAAAAAAATGAGACAACTTGCAAGACGATGCAATAGAGGATGGCAGTAGGTAAGGTCCGAGTAAGCAGTCGCCTACCAAACAAGCCCTGCTATTGTAAACAGCATGCGATCATGACGTTTGTGGTCGTGATTTGCTGTGCAATTCTTAGTCCTTTTGACTGCAAAGTTTGTACCTTCCGATAAAATTTGTACCAATACTTGTGCACACCTTGTATATGGTATATTTAATTATGGCAAAGCACGCTAGGGCTATCTGCCTGAGGGGAGGGATGCCTTTCGTGGAGGACTTTCTAAGGGAAACTGGCTCGTATACACGTTACACATGGGGAAAACCACGAAAACGCCCATGCAGCCAGCCCGTTCGCGGGATTCGAACCTCGGACCGAACTACCAGTGTTCAGCGTCTTTACCGCTCGGCCGCTGGTGGGCCCTTGTATATGTGTTAGACTGAATGAATTTCGTTGTTTTGAATTGCGAACTTGTGTAGAAAGCCCTCGTTTTTATTCTATTTCAAGACCAGAAAATTTCCAGAATATAAGTAAGTTATAATTAAAACCAGCTTTTCATTAGCAGAAAGTTGACATTCTGAGTAATATTTTTAACTATGTTATTTGAATATTAATGTAGCTCATTTATTTTCTATTTTTAACAGAAATTAATATAAATTTTGGTTTTTTTCAAGCTGATATCATTTTTAATAGAAAGAAAAATTACGCAAGTTCTACTGCAGGAAGAGTAAATGTGAAACATTTGATAATTTCAGCTTAGTCGCAGTATTTAGTCTCATAAGTATATTTAAAAAAAAATATCATTTCACGTTAACTCAGAAAATAATTAATAAATAAAAACGTATACTTGCGTTTCAAAGACGGCTGAAATGAAATTTGTCAGTATAATAATTTGTTTACCAGTGAAGGTACATTTAAGATGCGAACGGAGAAGAATGAATAATTACAAACATAATCTCTTGTCTAAACAAAACTCGATATGATAAACAACCTTAAGAAACCCTAAGGGAGAGCATTGAAATATTACTACGTTACAAACTAGTAGTTTTTTAGAAATCTTTCAAATACATATAAGGGAGAGAGAACCATCAGTTATAATTCATCAGCTAGAAATTCATTACAGAGAACTACAATCATACGTCATCTCGCTGTAATAAAAATGTCAAGCAATAAGTGATTTTATTTTTTACGGTTCGATTCACATTTTTCTACTATTCCAGGGCGAAAATAAAAGAATGAATAGGAAACTCGAGAACAAATCTTTCTCATTGGGTTCCTTCTGTAACATAAAGTCTTTCCCTGTCGCTGGCTGTGTCCCAAGTGTTCTAGGATTTAGTTATGTGTAAAGGATCCAAGCATCATTTAGCGCAAGACACATTAATCGGCTTAAGAAACTTCACTTCAGACTTGGAAAGTTTCATTAATAAATGCCATAGTACATTCTTGGTTCATTATATGAGCACTCTAATTAGTATTACCATTACAAAATAATGAGGTGAGCTCGCAACGCAAATATCATCGCTTACTTACAATGAAAATTCATCTATTCCCAAATGATTGTATGTTCAGATATTCTAAACATACATCATGAAATTGTTAAAGTATTTAATACTAAAGTATGAAAACTTATTTCTTTGAATACATAATTTTAATTTGGATATGGAAGACATACAAAGAAAATTATTATCAGATGACGTTAAGACATCAAAGTATGTAATATAAGATGCTAGAAAATTTTTTCCTTAATTACAATAACCATGGTTGATTTGGTTTACTTGACTACAGCAAAGCACTTGAAGCCTATTTACATAAAGAGATGATGCATTCGTGGAGGAGTTTCTATGGTAAACTGTCTCGTATTCACGTTACACATAGGAAAACCACGAAACCGCCTATGAAGCCAGCCCATTCTCGAGATTCGAATCTCGAACTCAACTATCAGTGTTCAGAGAGTTGAATTCTCGGCCGCTGGTGGACGTTATAATAATTATGTTGTCTAAAAAAACTTATCAGTTAGGTTATAAGGTATTTCTCCCAATTTCTTATCGTGCCTTCGTGGTGTAGTGGTTCTGCGCGCTGGGCAGGTGTTTCCAGAGGTCCGTGGTTCAATTCCCGGCGAAAGCGATTGCTAATTTTTCATCTTGCCTGCTTCCAAAAGTACCTAATGTCTCTACAAGGTATATTATAAATTCTCGCGAATTAAATTTAGTATAATTTACATAATTAGAAATAATATTTAAAAGTAAATTAAAGATGCAAATATTTATAAAGTAATACATATTGCTTTGAAATCATTCAGTTTCATGAAAAAAATCTAATTTCAGTCTGAATAATAAAAAAGGAAAGTACATCGCGTCGAAAGCAACAGTAAGTATTACAACTCAGTAAATATATTTAGTCTTGCGGACTGTGAAAATTTAATACTTTCGTAATACTCTGAGTAAATATTACAACAGTATTACAACTCTGAGTATATATGTTTAGGCTTGCAGACTGTCAAAATTTTCTATATGGTGCACACTATACATGTTCTTGTAGCATAACAACGTAATATATTGAAAGACTTGAATAAAAACGATCTTGTCATCGATTCAT